AAAATATTGAGTTAGCCGTTTTGAAGGTTCAAATTAATAACACTGAAAGCGATTTTTTTTGGAAGATTATATAAAATATACTAATCGAGAAGATAGGAAATTTCTATATATTAAGCCATTATGTTTATAAGATTATTTTTTTGCGGGGATTCCATGGCAGTCGACATTTTTTAAATATCGATATGACAATTATGAATGGTATCTTTTTTTTTTCTTCTTCAAAATATCATTCAAAAAAATATTAATAATATATTTTGATAAGATCCTACTATAAAATAAAGCCAAAATTATAAATGGAACGATATTTCATCCTCAATCACTTTGTTATATGTTCTAGCAAAGAAAGAGGTGATATTTAATTATAAATGATATGCTCCTTCTACGATGTAATATTTATATACGTAGTATTACTGTAGATTATTCAATTAAAAAATATATTATTTTAAGTAGTGTTTGTAACCGGCCCGATTAAAGCCCGGTTTTCAAAAGCGACCCGTTTAAGAGTTCAGCCTAAAATAATATAATGTAAACCTAGAGATTTGGGAAATAGAAAGTCTAAACCCTTTATGAAAAGAATGATAAGCATAGGATGGAAAATCCTATGAGGTTGGGAAATGGAGAAGCAGCTAACAGATTTAAATATATTCTCACTACTTGTGAGAATCCAAGTTTACTAAAACAGCTGTATCCACTCTTGAACTAAGAGTACCCCTAACCTTAAAAGATGGGAGATATACCCTAATGGCTCATTAAAGATCCTGATTTATATATTGATTTATTTTTTTCGATAGTTAAAATAAGAGTATGTAGCAAATATAATATGGAATCACATGGGAGGAATTGGAAATCTCTCAATCTTGACTCATTTTATACAAAAAAATTGATTTTGGCTGGCAGTATACGCGCTTTAGTTCAAACCTGGGCAATATTCAGACAATTTTAACGTAAACTTTTGAGGTATTTAACTAATCTTAAATATATATGAATTCTCTTTTTTATTAAAAAAAATCGATTTTTCATTTATAAATGAAAAATATACAATTCTCTTCTCTTCTCTTCTCTTCTCTTCTCTCTCTCTCTTCTCTTCTCTTCTCCTCTTCTCTTCTCTTCTCTCTCTCTCTTCTCTTCTCTCTCTTCTTCTTCTTCTTCTCTCTCTCTTCTCTTCTCTTCTCTTCTCTCCTCTTCTCTTCCTCTCTTCTCTTCTTCTTCTCTTCTCTTCTCTTCTCTTCTCTTCTTCTCTTCTCTTCTCTTCTCTTCTCTTCTCTTCTCTTCTCTTCTCTTCTCTCTCTTCTCTTCTCTTCTCTTCTCTTCTCTTCTCTTCTCTTCTCTTCTCTTCTCTTCTCTTCTCTTCTCTTCTCTTCTCTTCTCTTCTCTCTCCTCTCCTCTCCTCTCCTCTCCTCTCCTCTCCTCTCCTCTCCTCTCCTCTCCTCTCCTCTCCTCTCCTCTCCTCTCCTCTCCTCTCCTCTCCTCTCCTCTCCTCTCCTCTCCTCTCCTCTCCTCTCCTCTCCTCTCCTCTCCTCTCTGATCCAATTTTTTCGAATGGTTAGACTCAAACCGTGATTTATTCTGGTGTGGTTAATTTTGGATTTCGATTTTTAAAATTTATACTCGGAACGGGTCGTCACACAGACCCTCGAAAAATTTTTTTTAAAATTAATTAGCTTTTCCTAATAATTTATTCTGAATGATGTTCCTTAAATTTTTTAAAAAAACGCACATTTTTAAGCGTTTTTTGAAAAGATATCATTATTACTTTATAAGTCAAAATCTATCATTAAAAAAAGGATGATATCCAGGCTTAAAAATATTTTTCTTTCTTTTTCTTTCTTTCTTTCTTTCTTTCTTTCTTTCTTTCTTTCTTTCTTTCTTTCTTTCTTTCTCTTTCTTTCTTTCTTTCTTTCTTTCTTTCTTTCTTTCTTTCTTTCTTTCTTTCTTTCTTATTTATGATTTTATCATTAAATATATATATTTTTTGACATATAAAAATTACAAAAGTGTTACAGAATTAATTTTTAACAAAATTTGATCGAAATCTCAATTAAGAATTCTCTTTTTTTTTTAAAAAAAATTCCATCTTCAGGAAATTATTAGCTCTTAAATTTTGGCGCGAAAAAAATCTTCAGAATTCTTCTAGAAGATTTTTTTTTTTTGTATCTATTTTTTTGTTATGTTAGTTAAAATAAAGTTTTTTTTTCCCCTTAGTAAATAAAACTATATAAAAAGATGTAATTTTATTCGTTATTATTTATCAAAGAAGCATTTAATATGTTAGAGGTAAAGTAGAAATTAAAACCTTTTAAACAGTTGTAAATCATAAATTATAATTTTACAAAATAAAACAATAGATAATCTACCCTCAGTGTTTGATAAGTTCTCAACTCAATAATTGTATTATGACAAATACTAAATAATTTATAAAGTTTTTTTTTGTATATTAGTATAATAATTGCAGGTATATTAATTTAATAATATAGAATATTTTACTTTTCAATAAAAAAAAAACAATATATTTAATATAAATTAATAAGTTTGTTATCAAAACGAAATAATACATAATATTTGTTATACCTTTTTTGGTATAACATTTATTTTTATTTTATTTTTCAGAGATATTTTATATTAAAGATCATTAAATTATATGGCTTTCACGTTTGCCAAGCAACAAACACAAACAACTTTCTAAACTACTTAAAAATGATGTGGCTGTGCTAATGTAATTATCACTTCACATTAATCAAAAGCAAAAAAAAAGCTTAATTTTATTAACAGGTTTTGATTTATGAATTAGCTAATCAAACTATAAAATTGCAATTAAAAGATTTGACAAATTATATATAAAACTATATTTATATAAAATAAAACATCATCACGACATTTATTTTTTTTTAATTGAATCTTTATATATATTTTGTAATTAATATCCAATTTTTAAAAAAAATATAAATTCTATTAAAAAGTCAAATCTAAAAGTGTTATTTTTTTTAAAAAAAATCTATTATAAAAATTGTAACATTTTGATAAATTTTTGACATAATATTTTGTTAAAAAAATGTCATATTTTGGTTGTTATTTAACGTTTAATACGAAGGAAGAGGAAGTAAGGAAGGAAGGAAGGAAGGAAGGAAGGAAGGAAGGAAGGAAGGAAGGAAGGAAGGAAGGAAGGAAGGAAGGAAGGAAGGAAGGAAGGAAGGAAGGAAGAAAGGAAGGAAGGAAGGAATAAGGGAAGTTTTAGAAGATGATCTCACCTTTAGTTATTTATTTAAAAATAGCCGAATTAAATTCGTCATTAAATGCGTAAAATAATCTTTATAAATTATGTAAATTTCAAATATTTTCTTATTATAAAAAAGTAAATTTTTTTCTTTCTTCTCTTTTTTTTCTTTTTTCCTAACTCAAAAAAAAAGAGTTTCGTAAAATTTATGAAAGTCGGTATAATTATAAATTTTTGTATAACGATAATAATAATTTTAAAAAAATTTGTTTTTTTAAAAAAACTGAAAAATAAAGAATTTAGTTTTGAATTACGAAATTTTCATTTTGGTCAAAAATCTTCTTAAGTTTTTTTATAAACACTTTTGAAATTAGGAATTATTTAAATTTAAAATAATTATTTTTTAAAAAATATATTCATTTCATAAATATATTTTTTATTTTTAAAGTGTCTTTTTTTTATAAAAAAAAAAATGTGAAAATGGAGGTTGGAAAAATTGATTATTTATAATTTTTTTGTTTTTCGGGAACGCCTTTTCCTCAGGAATATTGAATAATAATGTCCTAGTATATAATACGATGTCTTATTCCAGGAGCGAAAACAAGGTTGAATTGGGAGAAATTCTCCCACACACCCTTTTAAGATATATCCCCTTACACAACTCACACCCCCCCCCCTTTCCCTCAAGAATGTATACAATATATCACTTTAAAGAAGAATCTGAAAGAAAAATTAGTAATAAAAAGTTAATAACTTTATATAAAAAAAATAATGACTATATAAAAATTCAAAAATTTTTAGGAAAATATTTAAGAAGAAAACTATAAATTATTTTTTTATAAAAAATAAAATAATATAGCTTAATAGGCCTTACAAATATATGGACCTGAAAACTAGTATTGTTAAAATGCTTTATTTTGAAACCGATTTTTAAAAACGGCTAACTCAGTAATTTATTCGGAAAAATATTTGCTCATAGATAATACATATGTCTAGAAGATATCTAAGCTAAACCTGAATTTTTTTCGGGCTTAAAAATAGAGTTAATCTTTTTCGAAAGTTATTCAAAAGAGCCGTGTTAACAACACTACTAAAGATCTCCAATAAAATTTACTCCCATAGGAAAATCTTGGATACACCTATGTCTTATGCCCTAAAATTCTAATATGAGTTTTTTTTAAAAATATTACTTTAGTAATAATGCACCCATATTTTAATTTTATTTGAACAAATGACAAGCAGGCCAATATTTCAACCCCCGCTCAGTTTAATAATGAATCGGTCAGGATTCTCATGCCCAGGACTCAGTTAGGGGAGTGACAGTTGAATTATTAAAATTCCCAGAAAGATCCTCATAGTCAACATACATGGTCATTGGTTCATGTTATCCATCTTTTATAATATAAATCATTATATATTCGATATTTAAAGGGATTCTCGCCATCATCGCCTTTTATGAGTAGACTGGGGGGGGGGAGACTGTAGCTTACTTTGCTCTATGTCACGTGATCTGCTCCGTGGCGGGTTCAAAACCGGATATGGATGTTTCTGAATTGAATTAGCGATAAAAAATCAAGGGGGCGCAAAAAAAAACGGAATTTTAATTAATAATAAAGATAAAAAAGCGCTAATTTAATTTTTATCATTTTATAAATAATCTTTCCAAAATATACCTTTTTATATAAATAAAAAAATAAATAATAAAAATAAAAATATAATATTTTTATTTTGTATTATTTTTTTATATATATTGAAAAAAAAAATATAATTTTTATATAAAACAAAATTAAAAAATCACTTTTAAACGTTTTAATATTAATTTTTAAAAAAATATAAATTTGATTCTTTATATTTATTGAAATATAAAATTAAATTAAAAATAGTTTAAAAATAGTTTAAAAATACCCTGGATTGTCCCAAATTTTGAATTGTGATAAGAAGCAACAAAAGTCGAGATCAAGGCTAATATTATCAAAAAAAAAGGTAAAAATTTGATGATAATAAATATATTTTAAAATAAAATATATATTGATGGGTAGGATTGGAAACTGATTGGATGGAGACAGGCACTCTGGCATATCCAGAATTATGGGAGGGGGGGGGGTTCTGGACCTGACAAAAATTTCTTCCAGATTCACTACAAGTTCAGGTTTGGAAATTTTATCTTAAAAAAATGGTCGGGTGAAGCACTATTAGATGATTTTTTTTCCCCATAAATTTTGTCTGGAGATCTTTAAAGTTCCACTTATTGTAGGCCTTAAGCTATATTAGATTTTTATAAAAAAAAATAATTTTGAGTTTTCAAAATTATTCCCTGTAAAGGTATATTCCATACATTTTTTTTGGGGAGGGGGGAACCTGTGGGAGTGAGGCAGGGTGGGAAAAATTTTCGCCTTTTCCCCTTCCATTGTTAGGCTCCTGGGGAGAGGCTATCTATATTATCGACAAATAAAAAATAAGTGTGAAATATATAGAAAATTTGTTTCGAAATTTAATTGATAGCATTTTATACCTTCTAATTAGGGCTTATTTATGCAACACGCCATTTTTAAAATCGTGCAATATAAAGTCGAAAATATGAGTTGAGTAATAATTGGCTTAAAAATAAATGGTCTCGATCTACAGGCGGAAGTCGAAGAGGATCTGTTAAGCATCGAGGCACCATTGCTGAAAAAAGAGACTAAAGTCCGATATAAAATTAACACAATTAACCCGACTCTAATCTAAAATAATTATTTTCTTTGTACAAATGTCGTAATAAATTTTAAAGAAAATTAAGAGAATAAATACACTTAATTTTACTCACGCGATACGATGCGGTTGGCTTATTGAATCATTTTTTGTTATTTGAAGTTATATAATTAGTCTTTAAAAAAGGTGAGAACTTCTTATGATCAAGGTTAAAGATCTAAGAATATTTTATCAACACATTGTCGGATAAAATACTGAAAAAATCTTAATTCTGCCAGAAGATTCCAAGTCGTATTATTGAATTTCAGATACTTCATCGATTTTATATGTAAATATATATATCAAATTAAGAAATAGATAACTAAATAGAAAGAATGAAAATCATCATAAAGGAGATATATACAAAATACAAATGCTGAGTGTCGGAATGAAAAGGAATGAAATAAGGGGGGGGGGGTGGAATAAGATTTTTCAAATTTAAAGAACGTCTTTCAGTAAATAATTTAAAGCTATAATTGTTATTTAAATTAGCTTACTTAGGCCAATAAAAAATTTTTTTTTAAAAAAAATATCGATTTGACCAAAAACAACAACAAAAAATGGGCTAATAAGTAATGACATTTAATAATACCTAGGACTGACGATGCATTCATTAAAAGTGTAGTACATCAATGAAAAACAGCTGGAGGACGCCATTTTGGTTACGCATTATCATATTAAAAAATTTTAAAAGAGAGAGGCCAATTTTTTCCTATGTCTGACGCAAAACTTTTTATGAAAGAATTGCCTGAACATCGAGATAAAAGGATGCAAAGTTATCAAATTAATAGTAGTTTTTTTAACACGAGGATAATTACTATATGGGTTACCAAAATGGCGGGTCCAGCTGATTTTGCACGTCAGTCTAGGTATTATTTATATGCCTTTGGCTAATAAGCAATTTTAACTCGAATTTTCGTTTCCAAATATATAAACAAATTTGTTAATGCAAAGTTTCAAGGGATAATTTATAAACATAATATTTTTAACAATAATAGAACACGTGTTAATTAGCAAAGGAGCGCGAACCTAAAATATTTTTGAAAAAAAATACAAAAAAAATGCAACTCACGAAGGATTCTGCCTATTTTTCGAGCATTCTTATTTTAGTGATTTTTGCGATGTCCAGTTTAATTTGCTTCTCCAATGGTGCCATGATCAAACGCTACGGTAATTTTCATTTTTTTTTCGCATTTTTTTACTCCCCTAAACACGCATGTTCAAATGATTTATAGTTTTATAAATTGTTGGACAGCATTAATATCGGAATTATTATAAGATACACATTTTTTTTTCGATATAAATATAGAATACAGATACAATTTTCCCCCCAAGAGTACATTTTTAATTATAATTATGTGTGCATAATTTTTTAGGATCGTTTTTAGTATAACCGCTAATCACATGTTAAAATACTAGTGTTGTTTAATTGATCGATACGAGCCCATTCTTAAAAATGGTTAAACTATAATGTTTTATCCAGGAAAAAAAATAATAACGCACACCCTAAAAATTTTGCTCATAAATGGGTACTAAGGTTTGGACATCTATTAGCGAAATCTCCAGGTTTAGGCTATATTTTCCTAGCTAAAATATCGAGTTATGTTTGGCATACCTATCTTATGAATTGTTTTAGACAATTTTGCTGTTAACCCTTTGAATCATTTATAATTTATATTAAAAAAAATATATGGAAAGTTTTATTTGAAACTATCATCATTTTGGAGTGGCTTTTTACGGCCGGTTTCCGACCCGACTCTAACCCTTCACTTTTTGCACACGTGAGGCCGTCGTCGATTAAGATGGAAGAAACTTATCAAAACAAACCCCACGACTGTGGGACCATATGCATGATAAAAAAAGAAGATAAAAAATATATGGAAAAATCTAATATAAATTATATTATTTAGTTTTAAAAAATATCATGTAAATGATTTAAAGTTGAAAAAATAACACATTGCCAGAAAAAACATTGGCGCTAACATATACGAATTATAATGGTATAGATTTTTTTTAAAAAAAATTTTAACATTAAGGCACACTCTTTTTTTTGACTTTGAAAGTATACATTTTTATCCACATTAAAAGGTCTGTCTACTTGAACACTTGATAGGAAGAGTTTAGATATATTTTATGTAAACCAAACCCTTATATTTGGTACGATTCTTTAAATAAACTAAAATCTTACTACGAGTTTTGAATTTTATCCAGAAAAAAATTTAGGCAACCCTGAAGATTTTTTGCTCAAAGATGAAACGAAGCTTTAGAACATTATTATTACCGAAATCTTGCGGCTTTGGCAATATTTTTCCGGCTAAAATATTGAGTTAGCCGTTTTAAAAAATAGGCTTAAAATGAGCCTTTTAACAAGCATTATGCGCTACTATTCAGATATTTTTAATAAGTAAAAATTAAAATTATATTCAAAATGTTCCTAATAGATATAAATAAATACCTCCAGATATGACGCATTTTATATATATAATGTATGTATATATATATATATAACGGTGTGCCTAGATACTGTGATACAACACTATTTGGATTTATATATTATTATTAGGTGAAAGTCAGCTTTACTTAATCAGTGTAACCCTACAATCAAGTAAGCTGTAGTCAATATCATTGAAAGGTTAAATGCCTTTCACTTCAAGAGTTCGCACACTTTTTTCGTGCATTTCAATGCATGTATATCGTCCCCACGTAGAAAGAAGTTCAATTTTTTTTTTAGTCAAGATAGAATGCTTTTTTTTCTTCTTCTCAACTTTACATTGCCCGTCGAGGAAAGGGTTATCGGGAGTTGGTCGGCAGAGATGACTAATTCAAATAACATTAGTTAGAGATATCAAAAACTAGATTTCCCTTATGTAATTTAATTACCCAACCTTGTTTAAAATTATAGCTTCAGTTCTTTTCATTATTAGATCGAATTAAATTCGAAAAATATTTGAAAAATTCATAAATTTGAAATTAGTCATAAGTATTTTATATGTTCCTCGTGGAACATTTTTTTAAAACTTTATTTCCGTATATCTATATAATATTTATCATAATTTCAAATTTTTATAAATCAATTTTAAAAAAATTCAATTTTTCCAAAATCTGGAACCGAATGCGAAATAGTGACACTATTATTTAAGATTAAAGATGCATTCATTAAAAGTGTACATTAATGAAAAGTAGTTGGGGACGCCATTTTGGTTAATCATAATTTTGAACGAGAGGCCAATTAATTCCTATGTCTGACGCAAATTTTATTAAAGAATTGCATGATCATGGAGATAATAAGAGAAGCAAGTTATCAATTTAATAGTAGTTTATAGCATGACAATAATTTACTATATGGGTTACCAAAAAGGCGGTTCTAGCTGATGTGCATTCAAACGGCGCTTTAAAATGCAATTATTATGAATGCATCGTCAGTTCTAGGTATAATCATATATCATTGGCTTACTTAGGATATTACATAATTAATAATTAAAAATAACATGTCATTTTTGTATTAAGTCGAATAATAAAATTTTCGATTTTAAGGCTAATTATAAAAAAAATTTTTTTAAAAAATTCAAATAACGGAAGTGGAATTGGGTGGCGCCAAATGATAGCAAAGGAATTATCTTTAATTTGTGGAATTTAATATTCAAAAAAAATTTTTTTTATATTGATTTATTACATATAAATTTTGAAAAAATTTATTTTCACAAATCGATTATATTATTTAATATACCTTTAAATTTTTTTTAAAAATATTATACTTGTAGTAGGTAGTGTTGTTAAACGGCTAACTCAATATTTTAGCCAGGAAAATATTGCCTAACCCTGGAGTCCGATAATAATATATCTAGACTCTTGTTTCTTCTATGAGCAAAATCCTCAGGTTTGCGTAATATTTTTTTCTGGATGAAATATTGAGTTAGCCGTTTTTAAAAATCGCGTCAAAACGAGCCATTTAACAACACTATATCTTGGAGGATTATTTTATTAATTAGATGGCGAATATATACGTTAGCGTCAATGCGTTTTTTTTCCGGAAATGTATTGTTTTTACGACTCTATTTTAAATCTTGAAATATATTCTATAATGTTTGGCATACCCCTTATCTTATGAAATGTAGACAATTTAGCTGTTAAACCTTTGAATCATTCAAAATTTATATAATATATATGTGGAAAATTCTAATATAAATTACATTTAAGTTTGAAAAATGTGGTGGAAAAAATTGCCCGAAATTCAAGGGGGTAGGTATTCTAAACATGATGGAAATACATCTACGGTAAATTCAAAATTTTAAATTTTTAAAAAGCGCGCTCAAAAAATGATTTAAAGTTTAAAAAAAATAATAAAACATTGGCTGAAAAAAACGCATTGGCGCGACTATAAATTTTTTTAAAAATATAAAAAGTGAGCTTCGCTTGTTATAAACAATATTTTAAGATTCAACTGTCCGACTTCTATTACCTGGGGATTTACCATCTTACCCCCTACCAAGTCAATTCTTTCTTTCTTTCTTTCTTTCTTTCTTTCTTTCTTTCTTTCTTTCTTTCTTTCTTTCTTTCTTTCTTTCTTTCTTTCTTTCTTTCTTTCTAGTTAATCAAAACTACCCCCCCCCCCCCCCCCATCTCTCCTGCCCTTTGCCCATCCCTCCCTTACCCCCACCCCTGTGCTAGAATTCCCTAATTGTTGTAGGTGTAGGGTGACCAAATTTTGTTAGCATTCAATTAAATTTATATATGTCGTATTGGTATACGATCCATGGAGGGGGGGGGGGTCTTTGAAATATTTATTTACTAAGGGAAGATTCTTAAATTTGAAAAATCTGGATTTGACCTGATATACATTTTAGCATGTATAGGAACATACCTACCCCCCCCCCCCTTCCCCGTTTAGCCAATAAACCTTTGTGTATTTTTCTTTGTAAAAATTCTACTTATACGAAGTTCTAAGGAAAATTATTCCGGAAATTCACAGTGTGGACACATGTCGGTTAAATCAGATTTTTCAAATTTAAAAAATCGTTGCCTCAGTAAATGATGCCTCAGAGATTCCATATCCTAAGACCGCCTATATAACATTTTTTAGTCACATGATGTCCTTTTTCAATAGGTGTCCATTTTCAATATTAATTAGGGCCCGGAGTTAGTAATTTTTGGCATGAGAGCACTTATGCGACTTTTTTAAAAATGCTATATATTTTATTATTTAATTTTGTTCTACAGACTGACTTTTCTATTCAAAAATAAAGTAACGGGTTACTTTAAAAAAAAGTTACTAAATAATTATATATAATAATTTTTTTTTTAGATATAAATAATACGCTAAGTGCTCAACACAGCTTTAGCTGCGCTATACACACGTTCAGCTACACACAGAGGATGGGAGGGCTGTATTATATTTAATATATGAAAAATTTAAACAGAAATGATCTTTAGTTTCTAAACAAAACTTATCAGATTATCTTCGCAAAAAAAATCTTCATTTCAGATCTTTTACACGTTTATGTTAGGGTTTGACCTGCTGTACATCGAGGTTAGAATATTTTAAATTAGAGCACAATCTGCGCTTATACAGTGGACTTAGCGCCCTTCATCGTCTCTTTTAGTGTAAAAAAAAATATGCTTCATACTAGAGCCAAGGCATTAGTGTTGTAACGTTCGTTTTGAGCCGATTTTTACAAACGGCTAGCTCAATATTTCATTATAACGCAAGCCTGAAGATTTTGTTTGCAGAAGGAGCAAAGGTTTGGAGATCTATTAGCAAAAAAATCTTGAGGCTTAGGTAATATTTTTGCAGGCTAAGCCCTTTTTCTAGCTAAAATATTGAGTAGCCGTTAAACAACACTAGAGACCTGTTTTTCGTCGTTAAAACAAATTCTTCTTTTAAAAAGAAAAATTTTTGTAAACTAAATTATATTAATTTTAATCAGGTTTTTTTGACCAAACTTTTTCCCAAAAAAATCACAAAAAATAGATTTTTTTTGGCCAAAATTTTCCCCCAAAAATCATAAAAAATAGGTTTTAATCAGATTTTTTTTTGCCAAAATTTTCTCAAAAAAGTAACAAAAAGTAGGTTTTAATCAAATTTTTTAAATTTATTAAAACGCGCTCATAAAAATAATGTTAAAATTGAAAAAGTAAAACGCTAACCTGGAAATTTTTTTTTATCATATTCATAACCTTGTTAAGATTAATTAACATCAAACCCAAATTTGTGCATTTTTTCTCCATATGATTTAAAAATCCCATTTTTGGGTTAAATAAAAAATAAAAATAAATAAGATTGGAATATCAAAATCCTATCATTTATTATATCCTTCCTTTTTCTATATACGTCAAATAATAGCACGATAAAAATTATATCACTGATAAAAATTATACTCGATTTTTGTTTCCGAATTTAATTTTGAGTTCTTGAGTTCGATACGGAGGTTGTGGACCTGTAAGATAGTTCGGTACTCACAGTTACGGTTCGAACAACGATTATTGGACACACTCTTAAAACGCTAAAGGCGTTAAGCGCGTTTTACTATTCTTATATCTGATGTATAATCCCATCCCCCCTCCCACAGCATCCTCTATTATTTGTAAACACCCACGTTTCCATTTGTAAACTTTAATTCAGTTCATTTTTTTTTTTTTAAAAACACAGTTTTTTATAATATAAAACAATTTTTTTTCGCTCTCACTTCGTAATTCAATTAACGTATAAATTCAATATAGTAATCCTTTAATATTTTTTTTTGCGAAAAAGGGGATAATTAAGGATAATTAATATTATATAAATAATTTTTATGAAAACAGTAATAAAAACTTTTTTCAAAAAATAAAAGCTTAATCCAAAAAAATAGTTTCTAATACTTAGTAATAATCTAAACTAATCTATAATATTAAATTTTTTTTTTAATCATTTTACAATAAATCATGAAATTTGAAATTAAATTTATTTTTTATTATTATTATCGTTAAAAAATCTATTAAATTTTTTGATAAAAATATTTACGGTTTATTTTATAATATAATATTATAAAATGTATAACCCGTTTTAAACTTAGTTTATAGTTTTAGCCTATAAAATTCTTAATTGATTTAGTATAAAGTGTTAGGGAAGCTTTTTTTTTTTAAAAAAAACTAAAGTATTTGAGTTTACATAAAAAAAAATTAATAAAGTAGCTCTAAATGTATCCAGTTACTTTTGAACTTAGAAAATTATCTTCTAAAGATGTAATATGTATAAATATAGCATACAAGTTAGTGTTGTTTAAAGGGCCTCGAATTTATAAAAAAATGGATAAATCCAATATTTCAGCTAAAACATATTGAAGCAAGCCCTCGAAATTTCATTTATAGATATCCATACCTTTCTGCCATCTTTGAGAATCCTGCTCTGCGTAGTATTTTATGGTCAAAACGTTGTGTAAACCTTTATTAAAAAATTGAGTCGTTTATAACAACACTACACTACGTACAAAGTATAAACTAAAATATAACCAAGTTATAATTTTTTTTTTAAATCAAAAGTAACTCTCGATACTTTTTAGCAACATAAAGCAAATCAAATGAGTTTCCACGACAGCTCGTGGTGTTTTCGTCTCTAAAAAAAACGTCTAATAAAATTTCCTCATAATAAATTAATATTCGTAAAGCATAATTATTAAATATATATATAATTCAAATTTTTTTTTTAAGTTTTAAAAAATGGCTATTATAAAATTAAAATTATATAAAATCTCTACAGAAAATTTTACTAGCTTAGAAGGCATTAACCAGCAATAACTAGATAATGTAAATCTTTCTTAAATATATATTTAGTTTTTTTTTAAAATAAAAAATAAAATATAGGTATAATTTATAAACTAATTTAATTTTGCATTTTGCGGGGGTTTTAAGAAATAAAAAATAATTCATTTCATATAAACATTCTATTTTTTGGGGGGAAAATAGGCACGTTTTATGTTAAAAAATTTAGGAAAGGGGGGGGGGGGTACGATACATATCTCTGTCAGAATTAAAGGAAAAATATTAATTAGAATACATTTAATCTTTAGCTTAAGTAAAAATAATATATATTTTTATTATGATTGAGATATATATATTATTTTTTTTAAATAATTTTTCGAACTTTAAAATGTATATCACATTCGAAATCGCGAGATTTCAAAACTTATCTGGCCATTTATAATCATTCGGGAAAATGATTACAATGAAGGTGTCCAGTTTGCGAAAACAGGGCCAAAATTATCGAAAATATTCTATATTTGGGTAGAACCGGAAATATAAAAACAGTAGAATCGGAGATGACTAGGGTTAAAACCGAAGCAGGGTTAGCGCAGCTTAGGGAGCCCAAAAAAGAGTTTCTAATCCTCTTTATATTAATATTACTATATCAATCATTATTCGAGTCCCCTTTTTGGGGTAAAATTTAATCGGAATCATGGGGACAATGCGATGGCGTTGCGATTAGTATATGATTTTTTTTATATAGACATGTAACTACCTTATGTATACTAACTATAGCTAGTAAGAGGCCTTAGCCACATATTCCCACACAGGGTTTCTATAACACGGAGGGGGGTAAGTGGGGGGTTACTCGATCACTTTCTTCTAGGGTACCATTAAGGGTAATCCTTTTAATCTACATTTATAGTCAGTATTCTTATTTATAATTGAATTGTATTTTTTATTATACTCATCAGGAGGTGGGCAAGGAGGGGGGGGCTCAACATATGGTAAAATATCAACGCCGAAATGTCGTGATACAAGAGTTTCATTTGAGAGGTTGGGGTAGGGAAAAATCTCTATATAACTTTTCACATGTATAGTTAGCATCCATTAATTTTTTTTTATACGAACGAGTTGATTGGCGTTTACAAGATGTGTTACTGGGTAATTTTTTCCCAGAGGTTAGAATTTGTACCTCAACAAAACAACCTCCTTAACAAAAATAATACGATTGTTTTTATAACCCTGCCCCCCCCCCCCTCCCCCTCTCTTCCCTTTCCTAAGGGAAAATATTGTATTAACCTAACTAAGTTTACCATCTGTAATATTATGTATTTTATGGACTATAAATTCTAAAATTTCTAAAAGAATTTATTGATTCCCTATGAATGATATCCCAAATTGAACCGTCATTCTGTCACCAAATTTTTAAGGGTGGGGGGAAGGATGGTTAAAATTATTTTAAAAAGTTAGCTATTTCATAACCAGGTTTTTAAAGGATAAAATACTTTCTTGATATCCAATGGCATATATATAGATATATATAAATATAAACATAATATAATATTATCATCATATATTTCAAAATATACATATTTATAGCTGAAGAATCCAATACGGCTCCATGGGGCGAGGAAAACCGGGGCTATATATACCCAGATATTCCTTACGATGAGATAAGAAGCATGATGAACTTCCTGGATCGGAATCGAGATTACAAGGGGTCCAAAAGGGGAATGCCTTTGAGATTTGGCAGGGGAGGGCCTCCTTTAAGATTCGGTTAATTTTCTTAAATTCAAAACAACAAAAAAACATATTTTTCATTCTTTATTATAATTATATTTACATATATATATATACAAATAATAACGTGTTTTTGTTTATTTTATATTTTAAAAAAATAATATTATAAAAATGTTTTTTAAATTATATATATATAAGTAAAGTTAAAATTCTACGTCCAAAATTGATGATATACTTTTTTTTGTTAATCAATAATATATTAAGAAATATAAGTAGTATTGCTAAAAAGCCCAATTAGGGTAGATTTTTTTAAAAATAGACTGCATGTAACCCAAAATAACACTGTGTAAGCTTAAAGGCGCTCATAGCAGGAATGCTTGGGCATCTTATTTGCCAAATCTTGAAGCTTAGCTTAGATAATAAAGTTAGCTAAAAATCTTAATTCGGCTTTTTAACAACACTAGGAATAATTAGGGATGTTATTAAAAAAAACGAAGAAAATTAAAAGCGTTATAAAAAAAAACGCGGGAATTTTTTTTTTATTATTATTATGAAAAATTTTGAAAATAACTTGGAAATTAAATCTTATTTAGCAATATGAATGTGATAATGAAAAATGTTTAACCAATGTTTTGGTTAAATTATATTATCGGAGAGATGCTAGCTATAATGAAGCATTTGCATTGTATACCACCGAAATGATTGGCGTTCCTTCATTCACTTATATTACTGTCAGTCAAAAAATATATTTCGGAAAAGGTTCCATTCCATTAATATATTATTCATTACCACAAAGAAAATAAATAAAATAAATCAGTTTTGGAAGTAAAATAAAAAATAAAATTAAAATAATCAAAAATATATTTGTAAACATATTTTATTATTTATTTTATTTTGTAAAGAATTTGGATATCGTTTTTTTTAATATAAATTATATTCTCATATTAGATAAATTATTTTTTTTGGCCTTATAAAATTAATTGTAATTAAATGTCAAATATAAATTCTTCATTATTTTTTTTTTTAATAAAAAGAAATTTCATAAATGTCATTAGTTCCTCTCACCATGGCTTTGTAAAACTGATTTGATTTGACAAAAAAAATATTAAATAATTAGTTATAAAATTAAGGGTTTCCGAATTCCCCGAGAATTCCGTATTCCAGTATACGACACATATTTTAGAGGTCTGTAAAGGGCGTGATTTTAACCGCCCTTAGCCCGCCCGGTCCATTGTTTTACGCTTTTCCGCCGGTCTACATGTTATCCGTCCATAGTTTTTGTTCATGGTCTCTTAATAAAACGTTATCAATCGTGGCTAAATGGTTTTTGAAAAAAAAGTCACGCTTCTCGCCTATATGCCGCGCATAAAATATTATTCCGAAAAAAATAAAATTTTTTGCCCAAACAGTTGATAGGCATTTTATTCAATTTAAAAAAAAAGTTAGTGTTCTAAAAAATTGGTTGTGTAATATTTAATGACGAAATTATAAGGTTTCAATGTAATTTATAATAATTTAAACCCATAATTTCCTTTCCTTTCCATTCCTTTCCTTTCCTTTCCTTTCCTTTCCTTTCCTTTCCTTTCCTTTCCTTTCCTTTCCTTTCCTTTCCTTTCCTTTCCTTTCCTTTCCTTTCCTTTCCTTTCCTTTCCTTTCTTTTCCTTTCCTTTCCTTTCCTTTCCTTTCCTTTCCTTTCCTTTCCTTTCCTTTCCTTTCCTTTCCTTTCCTTTCCTTTCCTTTCCTTTCCTTTCCTTTCCTTTCCTTTCCTTTCCTTTCCTTTCCTTTCCTTTCCTTTCCTTTCCTTTCCTTTCCTTTCCTTTCCTTTCCTTTCCTTTCCTTTCCTTTCCTTTCCTTTCTTTTCCTTTCCTTTCCTTTCCTTTCCTTTCCTTTCCTTTCCTTTCATAAAATAAATTATTATAAACAGGATATTAAAGTTTAATAAGAAAATATCCCTGACAACTGATATGAAGGGGTATATACATGATAAATAAATCAATAAAAATGATGGATGCACTTATTTTTGATCATGGGTTTCGAAAATAGCGAAAGTCACGGTCGGCAAGATCGTTAATTTCGGACCGAACTGGACCATGGTCCTCAAATAAAAGACCGGTCTAGACCCGGTTATTTAACTTCTTTTTTTTTGTCATTTAGAAATATTTTTGTTGGACACCCTAATTTAATTCTTGTTTTTATCATTTATACATAATATATAAAAGTAATTTAAATGTTAACAACAATAATCAAATCAAATATGAATAATATAATAAAAGTTTATATCCCTGGTAACTTGATTTCGTATGCCCAGGTTATCCTGTTATGTGAGAAGGGTTCTTAATAGCTAAAAATTAGGAATCTTGCTTATATCTCCTAGACAAATTTTAAAATTAATAGATATACGGGAAAACATGTTAGAATAATGAAACAAAAAAAATTTGCTCGCAAGTCCATATAAAATTTTTTTTTAAAAAACCACCCGTATTAAACAAGCGGACCTGTGCGGGTGGGTTTAACCCACCCGTTCAGCGCTGATTTCCTATATTTATTATTTTAAGGTTCTTTTTTTTAGCATTAATTAGAATTAATAGTTTATCTCATTTATTTTTTTGTATCAAAAGTATATATCTTATAAAATAATTTCTAATGTGTATACAGTAGAATAATATCTTTCCTAAAATAAAACAATATAATTAATATCAAGCAAAATAAAATATATATAATAAAAATATGCGCTAGATAAATTGATTAATAATTTATGGCATATTATTAATTTTGGTTGGATGCGATTGATATAATAATAATACACATACACTCTATATATTAATTCTCTCTGCTTAAACGTAACATTGATTATGTTTAGCTAATTAATAAGTTGCAGCCTGTCCCACGTTCAAATTAGATCATCATAGAATCGATATTTATTCTAATTTTTTTTTATAAAAAAAAATTGCTAATTATTTCATTACGATAAATTTATTCATATATATTAAATATATATAAAAAAATGTCAATTGAAGCTTAAATTATATATTTTTCTTCTCTTTAAAATCACGTTAAACTAGTATGGAGATAGGCAATGGCATATAATAATACATAGATAGATCGAATGGGGGAAAGTGAAGCCTTACAATTGATTTTTGAATCGCAATTTTAAATCCGATATTTTATGAACTATATTAGCTTAAGACGTACAATTATTTTGATTTCTCCTTATAATTTATTTTTTATGTTTATTCACTGGAAAACCTGAAATTAATAAGTATTAATCAACACACATATTTGTCACCCATTACAGTGCAAAAAAAACTTGCTACTTATTTCATTACGATAAATTTATTCATATATATTTTAAATATATATAAAAAAATATGTCAATTAAAGCTTAAATTTTCTTTCTTTCTTTCTTTCTTTCTTTCTTTCTTTCTTTCTTTCTTTCTTTCTTTCTTTCTTTCTTTCTTTCTTTCTTTCTTTCTTTCTTTCTTTCTTTCTTTCTTTCTTTCTTTCTTTCTTTCTTTCTTTCTTTCTTTCTTTCTTTCTTTCTTTCTTTCTTTCTTTCTTTCTTTCTTTCTTTCTTTCTTTCTTTCTTTCTTTCTTTCTTTCTTTCTTTCTTTCTTTCTTTCTTTCTTTCTTTTTCTTTCTTTCTTTCTTTCTTTCTAAGACGTACCATTATTTTGATTTCTCCTTATAATTTATTTTTTTTGTTTATCTACTGGAAAACCTGAAATTAGTAAGTATTAATCAACACACATATTTGTCACCCATTACAGTGCTTATATAATTTTCCTTCTTAGCCTAATGCTCTAATCTTAGCAATTTTTTTCTTCTTCTCTTATACGAATAATGCGTTTTTTCTTGAACCTATCAAATGGGTTGACAAAGCACTAAAAAATGTAAAATAGGCACCAAATTATTTGATACAAATTTTAAAGTTAATGTCAGTATGTTTGGCTAACTTCACGCTTCAAGACATAATAAATCATACGTTACCCGGTCTTGACCATCGAGTACCGGTTTAGGGCGGACATTGTGGACCTCTACCACTGTAGGTTCTCTGATTAATATACGACAAATTAATATATCATATAGGAATATAAAAGCTTTCCTTCAAATTATAGGAAGAGAAGAGGGAAAAAAACATTTTAATAATTCATAAATTAATTCAAATTCACGTAGGCCCACTTTACTTATAAATCATAAATTATTTATGATTTTTTTAGAAAAAATAGATAAACAATCAAATAATTTTATTTTCTCGATATTTATATTAATAAAAAAATCAATGACTTTAATTGCTTTGAACCGTTTTCAAAAGGTGTCAAAGAAATTATTTGTCACCCCCCTTCCCTACCTTTTAAAAACTATTGATTTTCATCCATCAATAATATTCAAATAGTTTGCTATTTTCGTCAAATCGATATAATTTTGAAATATACAGTTATTCATCGTTAATGGGTTTAAAATATAAAAAAAATAATAAATAAAATAAGGTATTTGAAAGAAGAAATATTTTATGTTTAAAAACTATATATTTTAAAAAATAAATCTTGTTTAAAAAAATAATATTATATTATAAGTACGTTTTTAACTAGTAAATAAGGAGATAGAACAATTCTAGTTTCATGGAGGTTATAAACTTTAAAACTCTCTTTTCCACTGTCTACCTTTCCTTACTTTTAACATCTTAAGAATGTCATCTATCCAATTAGGTGAATCAAAAAAAATCATAATAATAGTATGATACGATTATGATTAAAATCTTGTTCCAAATGATGGAACGAGAATTTAAATGAACTCTCACAAAAAAAATATTCAAGATGATTCCTTATATTACATAATCAATGAGCATACATTCAATTAGGTGGCTGTCTTAAAAAAAGGAACTTTAATCTCTTAAAAGTTCAAAAAACTGTCTTAGTTAGAAACTCATTTTCAAAAAACTAGAGAGTTCTCTGAAACTCCGAGTAATTAAATTGAGAATAAATATATATATGTGTGTCAAAGAAGCTGTCTAAAATGTTTACCAGTGAATTATATTGTCTGGAAATAGGTAGTTACAAAGGGTCTCTTTTAAAGATTGCGCCAAATGGGTTTCTTTTTGCATAAAAATGTCAATTCCACATAAAAAAATTTCAGGTTTCAAAAAAAAAATATTATGGTCTGTAAAAATTAATTAATAAAGGCTTTTAAGCGTATGTTTTGTATAAAAAGACTATGGAATTAATTGCCTACAAAATTCAAAATCGAATCGTAATTTCTATAACCTTGTATAATCGTTGGTCTAAACTTTTTTTGCTAAATTTTACTATCCTAAACGAGTTATATGCTATAACGAGATTAGATGTTGGGTAGGAGAGAATTATTTCTATATATATACACACATATCCAGAATATTAGGTAAGTTATATCTTACATTAACATTATCAATGATAGCCTTTTCAAAAAATAATTATTTTTCATAAAAAAAAGATATTTTTTAAAATTTTTTAGAGTACAAGCATTAGTATAATAATTACCTTAGCTCTTGTTTTCTATGGCAATATTAGTATATTCGAATTAAGATTTTAGCCAAAATAAAATTATGTAAGCCTGGACTCGCTCAAAGAGGGCAGAAAGGTTTATACACCAATTTGCCAAATATCGAGGCTTATATAATATTATTTTGACTTAAATCGGCCTGTTTTTTAACGAAATTAACCCAAATCGAATTGTTTAACAATACTAGGCCATATGCTATATTAATTTTAAAGATTAAACACGTTACAAAGGAAAGGATTTCATACTAAATCTTGAAGATATTAAGTAAAAGCATGAAACTATAGCTGTAAAAAAAAACAACAAAACCCGTTTAGAGCTGCGGTAGAAATATGTTTGATTTGTAAATTATTTTATGTATTATTAGTAAATAAGTTTTACACAATTCAAAAAAAAAATGTTAGTAAGTATTTGAACTACTAGAACTAG